TTCCCACCACCTTGAATTCAGAAGTGACAGATGGTTCTCTGAGGAGATGCAAGGTCTTTGCTGACTGGGAATCTGTTGCTGTCCAGCATGTAGCACTGCTACGCCACCACACCAACACCAATGTGGTTCCTCTTTCCCGACTAAGACTGGCACTTACAGATGCCATCTCCTTACTTCCCTCCAGCCCCTTGTTATGGCATCTCTACCTGCAAACAGAAAATCGCTATCACAGCGCAGGCCGTGCCCGAAGGTTTTTCCACAGTGTGGCAAAGAAAACTGACAGTGTTGTGCCTTATCTATTCGCCATCACTGCAGAACGACGACTCAAACAGCTTCTGGACTCGCAGAGGTGAGAAAAAAATGACTTTTAATTTTCGTTTTCTTGTCATTTTCTTGTTTCATACTTTGGTCGGGTTTTGATTTTGTTTGGTGTCATGTTGCATTGGTAGTACGTGAACACAAACCCTTCTGGCACTGCCCAATATAACACATTGAAGCTAATGTTTCGAAATGGATTTCAAAATGTGACACCAGTCTTCCATTCCGACTGTTGCTGCAATGGCCGCTAGCAGCCTTTTTTTTTTTTTTTACTTCAGTCAGTGATCTCATTCAGGTCACCCTACCGTCATGGACATGGTGGAGGAGCAGTTGGTAGAGATTCTTGCAGAGCCAATTAGTTCAAGTTAGTTAGACTGTGCTTTCATATAGCCAGCTACCTGATTAGTAACAATCTGTGCTCGGTTGCTTAAACTGCCTAGACCAGCTTTTTTAGTTTGGTCTACCTCAAATTGAAAAAGTAAGACTGATTACCCCTTGACTAACTGCTTGTTTGTCAAACTAGCTCATAAGAAATAGGCTGTGTCCAAAATCTCAACTCAAATCACTACTTAGACCACCACTACTCCCTACATAGGGGGTAGGGAGTAGAGCACTATAAAATAAGCTCACCAGCATAATAGAAACACCACTTTCGGACACTACTCGATCATCTCGCGACGCCGTTGATTACGTCATTGTTGTCATTAGGGATGGGCAACGATTAATCATGATTAATTGCATCCAAAATAAAAGTTTGTGTTTACATAATATATATGTGTGTAGTGTGTGTATAAATAATTTCTATATACAAATACCCACACATGCATGTATATATTTAAGAAAAATGTGTTATTAATATATCAAATATTTATATTTATATATAATATTAATTGTGAATAAATATATAAAAAATATATACATGCACATATTTCTTAAATATATACATGCATGTGTGGGTATTTATATATACAAATTAATTATACACACTACACACACATATATTATGTAAACACAAACTTTTATTTTGGATGCGATTAATCGCGATTAATCGTTGCCCATCCCGTCGTCCGTCAGTCTTTTTTACGATCAGCGCAATGCATGATGGTATGTAGGGCTTGGGTTAGTGACCATTGGTTGTACACTACTTTTCAAAATGCATTCTGGGATACATTGAGTGGACTATATAGGGTATAATAATCATCACTATACATTCGGATAGCACTACAAAATGGCGAGCTCACTATATAGCCCACTATATAGTGAGTAGTGGGAGATTTCGGACACAGCCACAGGCTAAAATTATGCCACTTGTCCCTGGTTTAGGAGCACAAACTTTTCCTTTTCTATCCAAAGGTCTCATCATCCTGGAGAAGCTCTCCCCGGCCAGTCAGTGATTGGTCTTAGCAACCGTATCCGCTGTCTGTTTGAAACTGCTACAGCAACAGAACATGGGGCCCATTGTCCTCTGCTGTGGAGAATGTATCTGAACTTCATGGTAAATTTGTAAACGCGCTACAATTTAGAAATGTTTAGAAATACCCAGCAATAAACAGCTGATGACCTGTGTATTTTCTACAGGTGTGTGATGGGACTGCAGAGAGTGGCAGTGGAATCTTCTACAAGGCTCTGCAGGAAGTTCCCTGGGTAAAGGTAAGGTTCACTATACTCACACACAGGTAAAGAGATGTTACATCTCTTATGTTACAGTTTAAGTGCATGTTTGTGTGTGTGTGTCTGCAGGGCTTGTACATGGACGCCGTGCAGCTGTTTCCTGAACGTGTGCAAGAGTTTTTAGATCTTATGACTGAGAAGGAGTTGCGTCTGAGAGTGCCCATGGAGGAGGTGGACATCTTGCTGGAGGAGTAGCCATCCAAACCCTTACCACAATACACTAGAAATCAGTTACCGCTGACCACCAACCAACCACCAGATCAATCTCTGAAAAAAAACTACAGATTTTATTTATTTTTATGCATTGTTAAATGTATTTTTCCATGATTTGGGGAATAAATGATTACGTTTGAAGTTTTTTTCTGTGTTCTTTTAAATGGGATGTTTGTGTGGGAGTTTATCATGTTTGTTTGTAGTGTGTTTCAGTTAGCTGAGTGAGGCTGAGGCCTATGCCATGAAGCTGGTTTAACTGGCTAGGCAGATATGTTTCAGTTTAGTTTGTGTCAGCATTGAATTTTAGGCACCATGCAAGTGATTTGGTGTTGTTTATTGTCATAGTAACTTGTGCTCCGGGTCAGGTTATGTTCCGGGTAAGAGATCTCAAACTGAAATTGGACCAATCGGCTGTGAGCAAAGTGACGCATGTCTGATTCAATAAAGTCACTCCCCCTGTTTCTACTCCAATTTATAGAGATACATTTATACAGATAAAACTAGAAAATTACTACATCTGAATATCTATATCAACTATATAAACTAACTTAACAACTTTTACTTGCAGATGCATAAACAGTTCTTTTCTTCTTGCTGTGTAAATTTGCTTAAATTCTTAATATTTTTCAATCTCGTATTATGCAGAAGAGAAAAGTGAATCGCAGATTTACTGTTCCACAGCATCTGATTGGCTGTTAGCTTCTGATAGTACACCTGAACTCAGGATCAGAGCCTGAATTGACAGAGAAAGTGGATGAACAGTGTCATGGTAGCCTACCAAAGCCTGATTGGATTGGTTTAGTTTTGTCAATTCAAAACTAATCCTGTAACCCTGAGTTTGTTTAAATGCCATCATGTTACAGCCACTGGTTGGTTCTAGAATTTAAATTTCAAGCCAACTAGTCAGTTTTACAGCGACAGTCACTGTTTTGGCCAGCAGAGGGCATGAATACCTCCTATCAGATTAGGATTATTTTGAAATACCAAGAGATTGTTGCAGTGCTTCAAATTGATCTTTAGACTGCAACTTTTTCTCCTCATACAAACTGCTGGAAGTGCTGAATTTGAACCTGACATTACAAGATGTGCATTTAACTGATATAAAATTGTTGGTGATTGGAAGAAACTTGGGGTTTATAATGCTTATTGCATACAATTTTTCGTCCAAATTGTCCAAACATTTAGCATGCTTTTTTAAAGCTTTTGTCGCTGTAATGTTTGGGTTTGCTATATGTGTCTCAAAAGTATGAGAGTGGAACCGATGTCATACATCTTGTGGTATTACCTAGCAGCACATTTGGGGGTGGATAAATACATGAGTTTCTTCACAGCTAATTCTTTTAATTTCAGTGTGAAATATCATGAGGAGCAGACTAAAGGGCTCTGGAACTACATTATCGCTTTTACATATGCAAAAGACCCAAAGAACCGTCAACTGCGAGCTCTCTTCTAGTTTGTTGGACCTTTTTTCCCCTTTACCATGAGTTCAATAAATGACAGAATCTGAGAAACTAATTTAATGTGAACTTTCATGATTAAAACACTGAACATCTTTGAACTGTTTATATATATATATATATATATATATATATATATATATATATATATATGCCTATATCTCATAATTATAGATCGTATAGTGCTTGTTTAAATTGATTGTAATGTATTGGTGGTTTTATGTTTTTTTAATATAAGATGATCTTTCATATGCCACCTTATTTATTTGAAAAGCAGTGCATTAACAGTCGTATGTTAATTCAATTAAACACGAATTGCAGAGAAAACCTGGCAACATTTCATGCATCGGTCATGTGGAGTTGTTTTAGACAATATATTATGTGTGGATTGATTTTCTTTGACGAATGTAAGGAAGAAATCGTATTCTAACCACTGTTCTTTGTCCAGTGTTGAGTCGGAAACGAGATTAAAATAATTGTTTACTTTCATCTGTCTTCCATTAATAGGACAACTTCGTATAGTTAGATAAACAAGCTTGTGCCCTCGGTGTGATGCTCAACCAAATCCAATTCAGTGCTTTCTATGACGTTATGTTAGCGTGTTCAATTTCTAATTTGGCAAAGGCTGTAAACCAGTTGATAAAATCTATCCGATGTCACGTTTTATGTGTTTTCTAACAGTCTGTGGGGGAAAGGCCACGTCAGACTGCCTCTGATAAGTGTTGCCAAATCGTGCTTTAACCAGCAGCCTTACAAAACAAGCTCCAAATGAGCGTAAAACCTCTTTACAAGAACTGGGGGAAAAATGTTCTATCTGATGTATTGTACAATGACTTTGCATAACACGTACACAAGACAAAATTGCATCATGTAACTGTTACAACTGACCATCAAAGGAGACATCTCGATTCCTATGGAAAAGCAAAAACGTGGGCACAAATAATTGGGGTAAAATTGGGACTAAGTAAAAGGGAAAATAATAAACATGGACCTTACGGGTGTTTTTTTTTTACACATAAATGAAAAAGACAAAGTGTTTTTTATCATTTTATTTTTTTGCTTTGCAGTTCGTTTAGTTTACATAGCCCCACATTGAAAATACAACTTTTCTCAAAACAAGCAAACAAACAGATATTTGACAGCTGCTCTTAATGGCCACCCAAAATTTAAGTCCAAATATTTTGAAAAAAGCTAACAAACAAATATATGCAACCCACGACTGTCCCTATCGGCAAGCAATAAAACAAGACTTGTTCAAAATAAGTGGACATGGCAACACTGTCTCTAATTCACCACGTTCTACGATTCTGCAGTACCGCTGTGTGACCGCGAGGGGCGACAGAGAGGCGACACACACATTCGTCCAATGACTCGTGGCCGTTCGTAGTATTTCCTTTTATTTAGGTGAGTTGCCGATCAGCTAAATCGTGAAGTGGGTTGAAAACATTTGCAAAGTTTTATTTCGTTCTTTTGGCTTACTATAATCAGTTGATCGAAGAACATGGCTTCTTTAAGGGATCGAGCATTTTGACATTTAAAAACTCGAAAAAGTCCGATGCAGCTTTCCTCCGTGTTTCAAGCTGTTGGCTGTCAACTTGTGCTGTAGCTGCAACAGCTTTCACCGAGTCTTTCTCTTCGTTTGCTCTGGAAAACAAATACTGCGGGATAGTGACAAAATAACAACGCGTGGGCGTTTGCGCTTTTGAACCATGACCACTGAAGTTGCGAGTGACTTGGAGGTGACAGTCAGTTGTTTGGGCGAAGGGAACCAAAACAAGTCGGACGCGGATCGACCCAAGAAAACTGATAGAGGTAGCCACGAGGAGGGGCAGCAGGATCCTCCTCAGGTCGACTCTAAACATCAAAAACAGGGGGACATGGAAAGCAAAACGGATGGTTTAAGCACGAACAGCACGAACGACAAGGAGAATGAGCAGAATGCATCAAGCCACAAAGCAGAAACTGACAAGAAGAAAGTGGTCGAGGCTCCTCCGCCAACAGTGAACCCATGGATGAAGAGGAACGCATGCCCTCCCAATAATCCCACCAACAGCTCGCCACAAACAGGTAGAGAATTTATGCCTCCAACAGCATTTATTCTCCTGCACACATGTGCTCTGTTAGCTCGCATGTGCTACTGCAAACAGGAGCGGCCATTAAACTCCTTTCAGTTCACTTTTATAACCTTTTTTTGCATTCTCGTGCACCTGTGCTTTGAAACATATCATAACGTCGGCAATTCTTTCATTTAATTACAATTCATAAACTTTGTGCCCATATCCGTAAAGTGTGTTTTTCATACATGGTCAGAGAAACGAGCCAATCAGAGACGGAGGTGTGGCCTGTTAGCATTAGCACCAGTGATGGGATGTCCGACTCTTTTCAGCGAGTCGGTTCTTTCGAACAATTAAGACTGATTCAGCCAAGATTGTAAATTATGACGTAACTCCAGCCAACCTGGCGTGACATTATCCATTTGCATTTATTGTCTAATGTACTTTTATCAATAACGGATTTTATTGTAAGTTTATTCATTATTTAACGCATTTGGAACTCAAAATGAGCATTATTAAGCAGCTTTTGCTCATTATAACCGAATAAAACACTGTTTATTGAGATTATTCATAAAACTGTTATGACTTGAGATAAAGTTGTAAATATATTTCCATTACGTTTTATTTGTAACATTCTGAATCGTAAACAAATCTTTTAGAGATCGTTCTCTTCAACCGATGCATTGAAAAGATTCGACCCTAAAGACCGATTCATTCACGAATCTGACTGACGTCACTATTTAGTATTAGCTCGTTTAATCCCCTAAAGCGGTGTGAAGCAATGGAGATCAAAATGCTCTGCTTTATCCACACATTTAAAATGGTCTTCACGTGGATTTGACTGTCATTAGGGTGTTTTATGCTTTTAGGGTTGGAGCGTTTGTGGTATGGCTAACATGCTGTGCTGCCCTGGCTCGCCTGATTAAAAACACTGCTGTTGTTCAAGTTAGAAAATACAAAACACGCACACCCTGGCCATATTACTTTACTCTTGTTTATTTATGAAGGTTATCTTAATAGATTTCGTTTCAGTTCAAATTGTTTTAGTTTGTTTAACGCACTGCGAGTTGCTGTCAGGAAGCCTGGAGCTCGTTTTTGCCATTTGTGATGTGACCAAATATGGTGGTGGTGGGAATAAACGCCCATCAAAAAGCACGTTCCTACATCATTCTGCCGACAGACTCCTGTGTCTCTCGATCATTTGGGTGTATTTGGACAGACTTGCTGATGTGGGCAGATTCAACCTCCCCTTGCCACCCCACCCCATCTCATCTGATCGAGTTACACGGGAGCACGTGTAGTGCTGAGCACTGCAACTCCAGCAGGAGTTCATGATAGGCCTTTACAGGCTCACTGCTGTACACTGTTTTCAACCACACTCATACAGCTGCTAAACGCATTGTGTTTTGGTTCTTGGATCTTCATAGTGTTTGCAGTAGTGTGCAGCTCACCTGTTGAGTAGACATGACTGACACTGTAGTGTAGTTTTAAAGTAATTTGTAATATTAGACCACTCCCTAAAACTGAATTTGCTTAAACAGTGGTGTAGATTTTGGCGACTACCAGTTTACCTGTTTGAAAACTGAAATTTGATTGCAGAAAAAGAAGGCACTTTGCTTTTAAATAACATGGTTTAAATAACTAAAACTCACTTAGAGTAATAAGAAAATTGCAAACCATAAGAGTAGTTCACAAGCTTGTTGTTGAGGATCTCATTTCAGGGTCTGATCAAAACAACTTTCAGATTGTGCATCTCAGAAATGAGAATATTTAGGTCATCAGTTTACTTACCAAAAATAGCATAAATATACTGAGTTTTTAAGTTACTTTTGCAAAATGTCAGTAAAATTTTGGAGTAGTGTAGTGACGTATAATGCAGAGATCATGCTGAAGTCACTATCAAACTATCTCTGTTGGTCAGCCCTTCAATTTTACATGACCAACTTGAAAACGAGTGAAATCTGTGTAGGAAACTTTTTTTGCCTTCACACAAAACTCCTGATCGCATTGATTTCCTATTGAAACAACTAGATTTTGCACACAAAATGTAGCAGAGTAACATTAGATGTAACCGCATTTTTTGCTATCAGCTTGACCAGTATTAGTTTGGTTGGATGGGTTCCTATCTAATACCTAAAAAGTACCATGAAGTAGTAATGCATTTTTTTTTAATTCAAAGAAACTGAAATTAACATTTTTATTTAGCCAAAAACTGTAAATAAAGTTTCTGTAATTGAATTAGGGTAAATGGATAACTGAACTTGATATGCTATTTTGGGTGCTGTGTTCTGAGGGGGAAAATTAAATTGAGCCACCTCTCAATATTTCATCCTTACAAATTCTTAGGGCTGGACCGGAATATTCGTTCAGTGGGTTGGTATTCGATTTGAAGATGTGACATTCAAATATTCAAGGTTTTTTTGTTTTTTGCGGGGGCATCCCACTCAAAACGGTTTCCATTCGTGCTTGAATATATGTTTTACTCTATAAAATCTGGTGGAATATAATACTTAACATTTAATTTTGTTATAGCTATTTTGTTATAGCTAAGAAAATATATTTGCAGCTTCTTGGGCTACTAAAATTGTTCCTGCAATGAGAGTATTCTCCGGCTAGAGCGCAGCTGACTTTGTATGGACAGAAGTGCATGTCTGTGCTTGTATTTTGGGTTAAGCTGTGTTGCTTTGACATTGTGGAAAATAGAATTATAGAAACAGAATGTATTATCCTTTTTTACCCGTTATTATTAATCTAAATTAATCTACAGCGAGACTTTGAGATTTTACTGTGACGTCATGTCACATTTTTGTTTTTCTATATTTAAGTTTTTTTTTTTTATCACTATCGTTTTTATTTATATAAAAATAAAAACGCTTCCCGCTTGCGCTGTTCTGTAGTTTATTAATTCTGAACGTTTCGCCCGTCTATCTATTGCACCAAATACGACACTGCACTTCCTTGTGTTTGGATGAATGGTTCACGAAATAATCAAAATGCAAACAGACAGACAGAGATTCTGAAGCTCTGAATATTCGATGTTCATTACTACCGAAGCTTCAAAGCTTAAAAAATGGTATTCGGACCAGCCCTACAAATTCTACACATTGCACCTTTAGCATAATTGTTGGTCACAGTAAAGTGCATCTTTACTTGCTGACATTTTTACCTTTTTTAGCCTTTTACATTATTGGAAATACGCTAATTAAACGGCGCTGTTTCGGTCAATGATTCTGGCCATCCAAAACTATTGGTTGAAACTGTATTGGGTGATTGGGCATCTTGTCAAATAGAGATTATGTTTTCAAACCACTCCTGGGAAATCCATGTTGTGAATGGTGATTCACTTCCTCAATTTCAGTCTTTGAATGATGAAACCCCTCAGTTGAATACTGGACATCTGAACTACTTGATCAATTTCCTGTTTTTCCTTATGAAAAAACAAAACAAACAGTTGTGTTCATTAATTTGGATGGAGATGTCATGAATGAGCATTTCTCCTTTGTGGTTTGACTGAACCATTACTGTCTGTTGTTGTGTGAGTTACCGGTATGTCAATCTATATGCATTGCACATGTCATTGTTATGATGAATGAACAGAGCTGCTAGATCTCACTGACCTTGTTAAGCCAAAGGTCTTTGTGCTTTTAGCATTGTGGGATATACATGTATTTATGAATGGGATTGTGATATGAAAGAACCTCTCAGGTTGATTCTTAGGGATCCATGTTGAAAATCTAGAATGTGCGCATCACTTCAGAATTCTGTCAGATGATGTATCGACTGATAGCAGTGTTTTAACAGCCATGCCACTGCTCCTAGAGTCTGTACTCTGTACACATGACTTCTTGCCTGACATTTGAGAATAGACTGCTCTCCTGTCAAGCAACCATAGTGTTTGTGTTGTGACAGCATCTTTGTTGTAGGCAGCATTTTCTACTTTGACAGCAGTGATACCTGTATGTGGTCATTTTTGAGGTTTGTGACCTTTTTGGCTTAATGTGAATGTCACATTTTAAAACTCTTTCCACGTTTAGGATATGCAATATTTATATTATGTACACTACCATTTTAAAAGTTAGGGGACATTAAGATGAAAAAATTACGTAATTTATGAGACTGCTCTTTCCCGCCATTGACACAAATATATGGCTTTTTATGTTTTCACTGTTATGCATTATGACACATCTTCTGAAAGAGTACATACTCTCCTGGTCAAAAGATGCGTAGAAGAAGCAAAAAACAAGCGATAGCAGATGCATAGGCTATATAAAATAACGTGACCATCAACATTAAACAGCATTTAAATCAAAACTGCCTAAGAATGAAATGTTGACCCATGATGAGCTATAGGATTGTGAAAGCTTGGGGGTGTTAATGGATGCGACCTACTTGGGCTGGACGATATGGCCAAAAAAATTATCACGATAATTTTTTTTTATAGCAGCCAATATCAATAATTATCACGAATGAATATCATAAATGCCGTATCAAATCAAATTTCTTTCAGGATTTTACTCTTTATTGTCAGAACATATCATGACAAACACTTGCCAAACGTATATTTTGGTAAACACATCATATACATACATAAGTAAGTTTCTGCATGTGCTAATAATGGGGCATATTGTTTCAAGTCTTGAAACAGGTTTCTGTTGCCTGACTTTGATGGCATGTCAAGCACAGTATGCAGTGCAGGCTGCAATATAAATTTTACATATTTTATCTCGAAACACATATTTGACAGTGAGGTGACAGTAAATCTGCATCCTAACTCAAACTAATACTACTATGTTAAATTTGGATAAGTCGAGCCTTTGAGCTGTCAGGAAAACCTACTTGAGCTAATGACACTTTATTTTATTTTATCTATTCATTTTTTTTTTAATCTGATAAATTGAGGTTTTGTATGACTGGTTCAGGTTGTTGAAGCACATACAAAGAATACACCTTGAATGTATTTTAAAATAGATTGAAAATATCACTTTCTTTATTCTATTTTTTATATTTTAAATGTCAATGACCTGACAAGTTACAACTTAACATTTGCTCAGCTTTTATTCAGTGGCAGCTTATGATTTAATTATCAGTCCGACTGGCTTTTCTTGATGTTTCTGGCTTGACATTTTAGTGATTTAAATGATAGTTTGCATCAAAATAAGTTATTCAGCCTCGGGCGGCACTAACTGAGAGAAAGGTGTCGACGGGACAGTATCAGTAAGTCAGTGTGTATGGTCACACCCCACACTGTTGGCAAGTGTGCAGTGCCTTATCATACAGGCCATCCTTTCAGTAATGATAAAGGACCCCAGACACTCCCAGAAATTGGGCGTCTCTTTCTATTGCCTGTTTAATCCCAACAGCTCAAAAAAGAGAGAAGAAAGTAAAGAAATAGTTTTGAATAAAGTTTGTTTCACTCCCAGGAAAAAGCTTTGAATCTTGCTGTATTTCTAAAGGTTTTGGTTTGATGATCCTTTAAGGCCAGAATGCTGCACTTAGTTTATGGTTATTCCTCCACAACTACAAAGAATTTGAAACTCCTCCTGTGCAAATGTAAATCCCCTGATGTTGCAATGAATGGATAGACGTTCATTAAAATGCAAACATACATTGTGCTAACCTCCTTCTTGATAATGCTGTTGTCTTTTAAGAATCCAGAGGTTGGGCTATATACACTAAGATGAATGCTTTTAGCACTCATATTCCTTTATTTATTTTAAAAAGCAGCAATTTTTTATTTTAAACAAGCAGTTTATCTGCTTGTAGTATGACTCTGTAGATCTGTTATTTTGGTGGGGTTGGCGGGGGCAGTTTGTCAGGAAAAGGCCATACGCTTTGTTGGTTGTGTGAACAGTGCCACAAATACCTATATGGGGCCATGTCATTGTGTTGGGGGGATTTGAATAACACGGATGACTCCACTTTCACTGGCCCTCGTAGAAATGTTGTTTGCTGCTCCGTCTCACAGAGGAAGTTAATGTTTTACGTGTGTGGATGTGTGACCTTGCTGTGCAGGTGCTGGCGTGTGGCTTTACAATCTAAGTGAAGCTGTTCCCAGATAATTGACCACAGCACTTAGTCCGCATTGACCTGCCGCACTGGACACAGAGAGAGAGAGAGAGATATTGGTAGATTTTTAGTGCAGATCTGTGATAGCCAGAGGACCATAATTCGGTGTTCATTCATGAGTCACTTTAATAAAGAAATGCCGTAATTATGGTCATACTTTGAGCTATTAATTAACTCAAGATAAAACATTTTTGTATCCTGGAGGTGTTTTATAGATAATCTTCTTGACTCTGTGCTCATGTATTCAGCAGCTGTTTTGAAATAACTCAGTTTATAAAATGCCTGGAAAGTTATTTTATGAAGTAAGGCGTTAAAATGGATTGCTGTGACAGTGAAAGTCATTTTAACAGGTGGTTACTGTACATATAATAAGGTTTAGTTAATACATGTACGAGTTGGTTTAATCTGTAAATACTAAAAGATTCATTATCACTTACCGGTAAGTTAAACTTAGAAGGTTCAGCTCATACTGCACGCTTCCTCTGGCATAGATACTGCACTGTATAGAGATGTGTAGTAAGGGTGATTGTCTTCAGTTATTGAATGAATGATCGATAAAATCATTAGTGTACAGTTGGAAAAATGCTAACTATTTATAAATGGCTAAGATATTACTGCTCCTACAATGTCAGTAACATTCAGTGAAAGCGTCCTAACTGCCTTTGAAAGCTCGATAGTCATTTATAACATTGTGTTTGAGCATTTAACAATCAAATCGCAATCTCCTGTTTTTGTTGTCTGTCCACAGAACCCCAGAGTCCTGCCAAAGTTGTCCGTGCCAGCAAACCTAGATCCAGGAAGACCAGTAAGGTAAGGCGCTCTTATGTAAGTGATTTGCCATCTGAGGCCATGTGACATGCGTTTATCTGTTTAATGAAGACAAATAAATGAACTTTAATACCAGCTATCACATATAGGTAGTACATTAATGTATTTGGATAGATCATGTCTCTTTTTTTGTGTAAATCTTTTCCTCCAGTCTATTTGTGTAAGAGAGTCAGGGTCAGCAGCAGCCAGTCATAGAGCAGCTCGGCTTGTGTTTGTATTTAAGTGGATATTTGTTCGCTCTGTTCTGTTTTTTTTTAGTCAACAGTTTTGAGCACATGAGTTTTTGACTTTTACCTCTGTGGGACATTTCAGGGAGAGCACATAGAGGGCTCAAATTCAATCCTAACAGGGGCAGTAGGGTTGTCCCCATGGCTGACTCCGAGGCATGTTAGTTTGTCTCCACTTATAAACACATACAACACTTGACAGGCTCCCTTGTACGTTCATGAACCCTAGCATGTTGTTTGGTGTTCCATCATGCATTACAGTTTTGTTGGTTCACATTGGTTACACCATTTAACTCCATGGCACTCCCTCGCAAATTTAGTTTGTACCGTCTAGCTTTAGCATCTTGGACACCCAGGACCCATTTCAGGACGATAGTGGAATCCGATACGCCGCTTGGAATTCTGGTTTGCTTTGCGGCTTGAGGAATGATTGACGTTCCTCCGGTAATAGATTGTGAAATGATCTCTGAAAAGAAACACCCACACTTCCCCCACAGTGTCTGAATAATATTTTGTATGTTAAATAGTGGAAACAGTTGATGTGTAAGTTGGAAACTCAACTTAAAGAGTATTTGAGACATAGATGTCAGTGGAGTGAGGCAGCTGCTGTTCAAAAATCATTCAAACTGGACGTATTGCATGCATCTGCACGTCACTTCTCTAATGAGAATCATTAGGGGATAATGTTGTTTGGTTGTTTTTATGTTTGTTCAGATCAAATAATTTTTTGTTATGTGCATTTTGCGCTCATGTCACAGGAAGTGGAGTTTGTTGTAATGGATTGTGATGAAGGATGGGAACTTGACGAATATTTTTTTTTCTTTCCTTCATTCCTATTTGCAGTCAAGTGACTTCAGTGACATCACAAACTGGCCTACCCCAGGAGAACTCGCCAATAAGGAGGTGAGGAACAACCACAACCTCTTGTATAGTTTTATTGTGAATTATTTAAAATAAGACAATTCAAGCTTTTAAAAAAATTAAACATCTAAAAATCAAGAAGTATTTCTTATTTTAATTTGATGTATTTCTTTCTTGAAAAAACTGTATTTGGAGAGATATTTAAAAAAATGTTTCCTTTGTCAAACTGTGAAATATCTTATCTTGTCAAGCTAAAATTGCTATTTAGTTATATTTATTTATATGTGTATATATATATATATATATATATATATATTACATGTAATTACTTTATTAGATTTAATATATATATATATATATATATATATATATATATTGCCTCTATAAATATGTTTCTATAAATAAAAAAGTTTTAAAATAAGCAGCTTTGTCATTACAGCAGAAATATCCTAAATCGAGTGCCATCATATTTGGTCTTCTTGGACAGTGGAAGCCTTGAAAGCCAATCAGGTTGAGAACGAAAACATGTCTGAACCTGTCTCGTTGTCTGAAAAACGAATGGTTAAAAAAAATATTATATAGTTTACAAAATAAAATATACCAAGTTTCAAGCTAATGTTCTCCCTTATTCTCTGTGTGTATTTGTGTGTGTTTTTCACTCTTCTTCTGTGAAATGCAAAAGTAGATATTTAGCAGAACATCTTAGCTGCTGTTTTCCATACAGCAAAAGTGGATGTCAAGCTCCAGTTGTCGAGATAAAAGTTGACTTTTACAGTCAAGCTCCAAAGAGAGGAAAAAAGCCATTCCATAAAAGTGGCCCATTTGATTTGTGTACTATATTTCCAGTTGAAAATTCATTGAAATTTAAGGCATAATTCAAGTCTTTCCTTCTGGCTATTCAAATCATGTATTTGCTTTTACATTATATTGTATTTCTTTAGAAGACCTGCAATTTTGCACACAATTAATATGGACCACTTTTTTATAATGATATTTTTAACCATCAAATTTTATGACCATGACCGGATAAAGATCCTCATTCACTTATATTTGTATGGAAAACAGCAGCCTTTTCATTCAGCTAAACATCATCTTTGTTGTTCCACGGAAGAACAAATAAAGCATACATCTTTGAAACATCATGAGGAGGAGTAAAATGTACTATGCCTTTAAGACCTTAAGAAGCGTTTTTGCCTCTCTATGTCTGTCTGTCAGTGTTCAAAAATGAAATCAAGAAACTTTTATGCACTGTCATGATGAACCGTGTTCATTCCATATCATGTTTTGTCTTTGGTTTCACTGACTGATCTGCTGGCTTTATTCTGCTGAGTTCAGATTTAACTGAGATATTGATTTTGTTGCACTCCTCAGCAGCAGCAGAATGTGATAAACACACATGGGAGGAAAGGGACGTCAGGACGGAGGGAGAGGAAGAAGGATCATGGGGTAGAGAAGGAGAGTGGAAGTGATGGGAGTGACAGTAAGGAGAACAGGGAAGCACAGTCAGATCCGATAACTGGACTTTCGAACGAGAAGGAGATCGAGGATGGAGAGGAAACACACAGCAGTGCCCCCCGCAGGAGAGGAGGTGAGACAGACTGACAGCACTAACTCACGCTCAACTACATATCCATATTTGATTTCCATGGCTGTGTTCATAAATTGAATGTAAGCTTACTACTTACAGCAAGCTGGGCAGTGTATGTTGCTTACTTGTATAAAAAAATGCCAGTTATTTGATCAAATATACAGTAAAACCGTAGTATTGCAAAATAATATTTCAATTTAAATAGCCATTTTCTATTTTAACATATTTTAACAAGATCACAATCATTCCCAAATTCGTTTGCAAAATTATTTATTTTGTTAATAAAACAAAACAAACAAACAAAAAAAAACTAATAGTCAAGCTAGTCGAATATACAATAGTCAAGCAGCTTGGTGTTAAAAAAAATCAACTGTGGGAGCAATTGTAAGAAAATGGAAGACATAAAAGACCACTCATAATCTCCCTCGATCTGGGGCTCCACGCAAGATCTCATCCCGTGGGGTCAAAATGATCACGAGAACGGTGACCAAAAATCCCAGAATTAAACAGAGGGACCTGATGAATGACCTGCAGAGAGCTGGGACCAAAGTAACAAAGGCTACCATAAGTAACACACTACACCGAGAGGTACTCAAATCCTGCAGTGCCAGGCGTGTCCCCCTGCTTAAAGGGTTAGTTCACCCAAAAATGAAAATTCTGTCAGTATTTACTCACCCTCATGTTGTTCCAACCCCGTAAGACCTTCGTTCATCTTCGGAAAACGAATTAAGATATTTAAGATATTAAAATCGCTCCTGCATACAGTCCATAGGCTTCTTGAGGGACTGGCTCTTGCCGTCCCCGAAAAGTCATAAAAGACATCGTTAAAATAGTCCAAGTGACTACAGGGGCTCAATCTTAAGTTTATCAAACGACGAGAACACTTTTGTGCGCAAAAAAACAACAAAAATAACGACTTTATTTCAACTATTCACTTCCTTCTCCATAAGCCTATAGTCCGTTAACGTAGTGTGATTGCGTAGAGCTACGTCACACGTAGGCTCACTATTGGCCGACGCTGGTCATGTGTGTGTGATGCGTGTGACGTACAATAACAGAAGCTTACGCTATTAAACTAGTTAGCTGACTCGCGCAGAGGGAGAAATAAACGAATAGTTGAAATAAAGTCGTTATTTTTGTTGTTTTTTTGCGCACAAAAGTGTTCTCGTCGTTTGATAAACTTAAGATTGAGCCCCTGTAGTCACTTGGACTATTTTAACGATGTCTTCAATTACTTTTCGAGGACAGCAAGAGCCAGTCCCTCAAGAAGCCTATGGACTGTATGCAGGAGCGATTTTAATATCCTAAATATCTTAATTTGTGTTCCGAAGATGAACGAAGGTCTTACGGGGTTGGAACAACATGAGGGTGAGTAAATACTGACAGAATTTTCATTTTTGGGTGAACTAACCCTTTAAGCCAGTACATGTCCAGGCCCGTCTGAAGTTTGCCAGAGAGCATATGGATGATCCAGAAGAGGATTGGAAGAATATCATGTGGTCAGATCAAACCAAAATAGAACTTTTTGGTAAAAACTCAACTCGTGTTTGGAGGAAGAAGAATGCAGAGTTGCATTCCAAGAACACCATACCTACTGTGAAGCATGGGGGAGGAAACATCATGCTTTGGGGCTGTTTTTTTCTGCAAAGGGAACAGGAAAACTGATCCGTGTTGAGGGAAGAATAAACGGGGCCATGTATTGTGAGATTTTAAGACAAAACCTCCTTCCATCAGTGAGAGCCTTGAAGATGAAACGTTGCTGGATCTTCCAGCATGACAATGATCCCAAACACACCGCCCGGGCAATGAAGGAGTGGCTCCGTAAAAAGCATTTCAAGGTCCTGGAGTGGACTAGCCAGTCTCCAGACCTCAACCCCATAGAAAATTTGTGGAGGGAGTTAAAAGTCCGTGTTATCCAGTGACAGCCCCGAAACATCACTGCTCTAGAGGAGATCTGCATGGAGGAATGGGTCAAAATACCATCTCAGTGTGTGCAACCTGCTGAAGACTTACAAGAAACGTTTGACCTCTGTCATTATGTTATGACAGAGTTATGTTACAAAGTATTGAGTTGAACTTTTGTTATTGACCAAATACTTTTTTTTTTTTTTGTCTCTCATAGTTAAAGTGTACCTAGGATGAAAATTACAGACCTCTCTCATCATTTTGAGTAGGAGAACTTGCACAATCAGTGGCTGACTAAATACTTTTTGGCCCCACTGTATGTGTAAAGGTGAAATGTATCACCATGGTCACTGGGTTGACTGTAACATAAAACCCTGAGTGGTTGGTTAAAAATCTGTCTGCTGTATTAAATGTCATGTTATACAAAGGGTTATATTGTCAAAAGTGCTTCTCATTTCATTAGTTGGGAAGTGGAAAAAAATGTTTGGCTTCCAACTAATTACTTGGCACACCTTACAAAGATTTGAACAAACTTTATAGAAAAGTGTTAACTTTAAACATGTTCACATGTACTTGCAGCAACCTCCAGCTAAAAAGAGTGAGAAAAGACAGAAACTGAAAGGATTGAGAGCTTAGACATTCTCATGATGCCTGGGCGGGTTTCAGACACGTAAATGCTTTAAATCTCACACGCATGTCTTAACACATACACACAGCCACACACACTTTCAGACACTCAAAGTCCTTGAAGTTTTACACATGACAGGTTACTTAATTAAATGGGTTTTTAAATTTTAGTGTGGGATCATATGCTATGAATTATTGTCTAAATGTTGTGGCAGGACATGTGCAGGAGTATAAGACATTACTAAAATCCCTCATAGTGGTTTTGGAAAGTTTCTTTCTGTTTCTTACATAATATGTGTGTGTGTTAAAACGTATGCACCACCAAGTTTTCATAACTGCCTTAATTCTGCCATAAATTCAACAAGGTGCTCGAAACATTTTTCTCAGAGATTCTGGTCAGTATTGACATGAAAGCATCCCGCAGTTGCTGCACAGTCATGATGTGAATCTCCTATTCCGCCACATCACAAAAGTACTCGATTGTATTGAGATCTGGTGTGTGGTGACTGTGGAGGGCATTTGACTTTAGTGAACTCATTGCCATGTTCGATAAACCAGGATTTGAGGTTTTTGACATGGTGCGTTATCCTGTTGGAAGTAGCCTGTCATAAAGGCATGGACATTGTCAGCAACAATACCCGGGTAGGCTGTGGCATTTTAATGATGCCAAATTGATCTCCAAAAGTGTGCCAAGAAAATCCTCCACACCATTACAGCTCCAGCATCAGAATAAATCAATGATGCAAGGCAAGATAGATCCATGAGTTCTTTATGCCATTTTGTTATTTGAGTTACTGTTTACCTTTCTGTCAGCTCAAACCATTCTGCCACTCACTGGATATTTTTATTTTTTTCCTGACCAGTCACTGTAAACCCTAGAGATGGTTATGAAAGGAAATAAGAGTAGATCAGCAGTTTCTGAAACACTCAGATCAGCCTGCCTGGCACCAACAACCGGTCACCTTTCTTCCCCATTCAGATGCTCAGTATGAACTTCAGCAGATCATCTTGACCATTTCTATGTCTAAATGTATTGAGTTGCTGCCATGTGATTGGCTGAATAGATATTTGCGTTAAAGGGCAGTTGAACAGATGCGCCAAACCGGTGCACTCACCGACCACTTTATATATACAGTATATACATGTATGTATGTATGTATGTAATGTATGTAATATGTGAGATATAATAAATACATTTTTGAAATGATTAATTTGTTTTTAATGCCTGAAACGTAAGTGTTCATTTTTTTAATTGAAGACCACTCCTTGAATTGCACTGTTAATTTGACTCTTATCTTGTTCTTTTCTTTCCTGTGTCCCTCAGGCTGGAGAAGAGAGAGAGATTTCTTTGATGACACAGCAAGCGTTCGCAGTGAGGGCAGCAATGTCCGTGGAGGCCTGAGGGGCAGGGGCAAAGGTCGCGGTCGGGGCAGAGGTCGTGGACGAGGTTACAAATAAACATCCCTAAACAACCTAAAGATCTGTTCTCACAGTCAGACTGTCTATTAAATCAGTTTATAGTTACAAAATTATTGATGTCATGTAAAATTCAAATGAAGTTAAAGTCGAGATGTACATTTTAAGCAAACAGTGAATGCACACTCAAATCTAGTCACCTTAAAATAAAAAATCAGTCTTCTTTTCTGCAGTCTGTGCAGAAAAATCGACACCTGGCGCACTTTTTTTTGCATCACTTTTTGTCACATTTGTAGCATATATAAATATATAATGTAATATTTTATATCTTATCTCTTTCTTTCCAGGTCGCTATGATTACTCCCACAGTTACCGTGACTCTTACCAGGATAAGTCCACGGTTCCAGCCGAGTTCGGCACTAACATGATCTATTACTACGACGACGGTAATCGCGTGCAGATGTATACGATTGAGGAGAATTTGCTTAAAGAATATATCAAACGCCAAATGTAAGTTCCATATCTTTCCTATCTTTGCATTTAAATCAAATACAGCACACACTATTTGCTTGTTCAGCTCTCCGGATTTCAGTGTGCCAGATTTTTTCAGTGTTTCTTTTTTATTGGTCATATTTGGACACATAAGAGAATTTGGGCATTCAAGGTTTATCTTCGGTTTAGTAACATAAGCCAAAACGTGTGAGCACTGTTGTATTATAATATGGTCACTGTCTTATAAAAAAAGTGTTTAATGCATTACCACCAGCAGGGGGAGCAGCTGCAGCATCAGGCAGCCTAGCACTGCCTTGTCTGTACGTGTCCTTAATTTAGCTCCTCTGCCTTATGGATGATGGGGAAGGGGTCAATTTATCTGGGTCAGAAAGATTAAGGCAGGGGACACTGGGTGCATTGTGTGTGTGAGAGTGCGTTTCCTAGTCAGAAATGACCAAAAAAATGACTTGCATTTTATGTGGAAATGTCTGTGTTCATGTTTTCCCTCTACTACCCAGCATGTGTTTATTGTTTGTGTGTGTGCGTTCATGCCCATGTGATCTTATTCTCAGAATTCAGCCAAGCTTACTTTACTCAACACTGTGAATGTAATGAGCTGAGAGTCCACAGGGAGCAAAACATATGTGGTTGATGACTGTTTAACACTCATCTGAAACCTGGCTTTCAAAAACAGTGAAGAAGAGGCTGAAAAGAGAGAGAGAAATAAACAATCTTTTTATATATATATATATATATATATATATATATACGTATATATATATATAGTATTTATCCAGCTGGTCGCTTAAAAGCATAAAAATGATAAATGCATAAAATTATGCATTCTTTATGAAAGTTGCATATTTAAAGCTAGTGACATGAGAAATGTTTATTATTAATGTAATACATATTTATTTGGTTATTTAGATAATCAAGTGTTCTAAAATGGAAGCAATACTGCGATCATATACACTCACCTAAAGGGTTATTGAGAACACCTGTTCAATTTCTCATTAATGCAATTATCTAATCAATCAATCACATGGCAGTTGCTTCAATGCATTTAGGGGTGTGGTCCTGATCAAGACAATCTCCTGAACTCCAAACGTAATTTCAGAATGGGAAAGAAAGGTGATTTAAGCAATTTTGAGAGCTTGATGGGGCAACAAGGAACGAAAGGCATCGCTATGACGACCGGATACTATTTGTAGCGGTACTGTCTGCAATGGAAAGTCGAGATTCGAGTTGAGCTGGTACTGGTAATGGAAAAGCGCCATATGTTATGCGTGTGAATGCCCATCAGAGGTGCTAGTCAGTATCCTCTTAACAGTGCTGAAAAAGAACAAGGTTTTGTTTTGTTCAAAGCAAGCCATATACTCGCAAATCTTATCATAATAACCAACAAAGTGTAAACGCAATGTGAAATAGAGATTCATTGTGCAGTTGCGGCAGCTTTTTTATTGTAAGGGTAGTTTTCTAGAAGTGCAGAATTCCGTGTGCTTGCAGACTTGGGGTTTATAAAGGGAGACTTTTCTCTTGCTTTGTGTTTATTACCCATTCACATCTAAATACAAGTTTAGATTTTCATGGTGCACTGCAAAGTTTCTGGATTGACAACCATATTCGAATGCGCAATTGAATAGTTCATAGTGTAAATGCAGACATCGGATATTGGTCACTTTTAAAAGGAGATGTAAGCTGGTCATCAAAAAAAATTGGATATAGTTAACAAATCGGAATTGGGCATCAGTGTCTTCAGTGTAAATGCAGCCTTAAAGTGTCGTATTTATCCACCCAATTCTGTATCCATTTATTTTGAATATCTTTTTGTTATTTGTGTAATTTGTCACGTTTCTAAGTGCCTTGGACTGGTTGTTGCCCCAGGACAGTTTTTCCTCCCACCTAAACACACTAGCGAGTGAAACTTGCTTAACATTTCGACTGAAACTCCCCAGATTCATTTACAGTATGGCTTATGGGGCAACCTCGCCTGACTAAAGCTGTTGGAATTTAAGGTGTGTTCTTGGTGGAGGCCACAGCGTTGCTCCCAGAACACTTCTGCTAGTTAAAGGGGAGGTATATACAAGTCTTCATGTATGCTAAGAAGTGTTAAATGGGCTTCATCATCAAGGCAAGGCAAGTTTATTTATATAGCACATTTCATACACAGTGGCAATTCAAAGTGCTTTACATGGAAGAAATTAAAATAATCAAAAGAAGTCTTGTCTCTGAAGTTCCTCCTTCAGGTGTTTCATCAGGGTACTTTTTAGGAACTTTCATGTGTTGGTAGAAATTTTATCAACTTTTCACCAAACCGCTTGTCCACTGAGGCTCTAAATTATTAGTTTACAACATTTAAGCAGTGATGGTGGAGATCTTGCTGCTCCTGGTCTCACTGGAATCCAGCCAGAGGCTCTGCCATCTGCAGTGGGACTGCACCGTTCCTCACCTGAAACAATACACAAAACCTAGAGCACAGAGATTGACAGAGAAAGAGTGTTGATCTATGAATGCATTTGTTGCTGTAAAAGAGATGGATGATACAGTAGCAAAAGGGATGTGAGATTTTCTGTCTTATTCCCATGATGTCCATTTCAGTTCTCTCTTTGAGTTTGCATTTTTAACCATTAGTGTAAGTGCAACCGCCTGCAGCAGTTAGAGAACAAGACTGTAATACACAAACGGAAATTTAAACAAAGCTGTTCTTGGATATGTGCGCTACATGTGAATGGATGTGAATCAAACCAAAAGAGCTTATATTATCGCTATTTTTTTATATTGTTGGAAGATAATAACAAAACAATAAACAAATAAAATTGTGCAATATACAACACAATTCTTGAAAATACTTCTATGAGAAAATAGCCTTTTTTGTATCAATAAATAATAAAAAAAAATTAATATTTTGCAACCTTTTGTCTTTTTTTATTTTATTTAGGCTTTTAGGGTTTAAAAATAAAAAATGATATGTCAAAAAATTTATTCAAAATATTCTATTCATACAGCTCACTTGCTGATGTCATTTAAGTTAGATATGCATCAAATATTCAGACCTTCTGAAATGTTAATGTTTCAATTAAACATTTCAGTTGATTTGTTATAGTGATAACAATTTTATTAAAAATATTTGTATTAAATTAGTAAAATGTATAATTTGCTCTAGTGATCTCAGACAGTTGTCTTATTTGTATACCCGTTTTCTTTTCTTATGTTTTTTTTATTTGTTTTTATACACATTGCCATTATACCAGATGTGCATGGAACAAATTAACAAAACTATTAAAGGACCCTCATACACACACACGCACATATAATGTGCTTTTCAGAGGTAATTGTATATCTTTTAGTTTTCATTTTCATGTATTTATTTGTATTAAATACACGGCTTTAAATATGTGATAAGTAATAATGATATCTAAGTTGTATATAATTATCTTATTTGCACACAGATGTGAAATGCGCTAGCTATTTTGTGGTTAGTATTTAATTACACAGTAATTAGAGGCTTCAAATGTTAAACTACTGTTTAATTATTATTTTGGAGTTTACATATGGCTGTTTTTGTTAATTATAGTGAATACTACTTCAGTCTCCCAAACCTGGAGCGTGACTTCTTCCTGCGGAGAAAGATGGATACAAAAGGCTTTCTGCCCATCTCTCTGATCGCCAGTTTCCACAGAGTCCAGGCCCTCACCACCGATATCAACCTCATAAAAGAGGTGACATTGACCTACCTCTGTTTCAGGACACGCACATCAGAGATTATTATCGTTAGTCTGTGTTGCATCTCTTTTTATGTGTATGAGCAGGCGGTGAAGAACAGTGATGTTGTGGAGCTGGTTGATGAGAAGATCCGTAGGAAAGAAGAGCCGGAGCATTGGCCCATCCCGGGTCCTCCTCTAGACTCCCCGCGCACAGATTTCTCCCAGCTCATTCACTGCCCTGAGTTTGTCCCAGGACAGACATTCACCTCCCTCAGCACAGGTCCTGATGTGTTCTAGCCTTTTTAGCCTTTCTTGTACTTGATATTGTATTGCAATAATGAATTATTCTGTTACTGTTTCCCTGACTTTAGCATTCACACTGACTCATTTACATTCTCTCTCTCTCTAAACGTGTAACAGTATCGTCCTCCCCAGTCAGTCAGCACATGGATGAACCCACGCTCGTGAATGGCCAAACTAGTGATGATACCGACACAGACAAACCTCAGTCCAAAGAATCTTTTCCTTCCGACTCAAAAAGCAGCTCTAGTGAGGATGGAAATACCCCAAAAGAGCGGTCCAGCAATCTCTCTGATCCAGATGTCCAGCCGTGGATACAGGTGGAAAAACGACACAGAAACTCCTCTGGAAAAAATAAGGTACGTCCGGATCCGTTATCCGTTCAGACTCTAGTGATAAATGTCATTGTTTTGTAGGGAACTATGCACTGAAATCTGACAAATACTATTAAGCCAACGTTGGTTTTTATGTAGAGGCTGATTTTAAATTAAAATCCAATGCTATTTTGTCTAAATAAAGTAAAAATGAAACTGCCCTAGAATGTGAAATTGAATATTCTGGCATAGTTAAATAACAAGAGTTCAGTACATGGACATGACATGCAGTGAGTCTCAAACACCATTGTTTTCTCCTTCTTTACTTAAAGCTCGTTTTTGGAAAAACACCCCTGAAAAATAGGCGAATCTCCACATAACATGTGACGCAACAGTCGGGATCATTAATAAGTACGACTCCAAACATTTGCCTATGCCAGCCCATGTTGAATGACAGGTGGAACTACGCAGCCGAAGCATGGCAGTTGCTCTGTGTTTGGGTGTACACATGAACACAAAAGTATTTTATAGTTTCTTCATCCGAGCCTCTGAAGAAACAATGGGTTCATTTTATTTTCTCTGGAAATTTCTAAACATTTCACCAACGACTGTGTTCTCAACTTGGGCCAAGAGCTGGCCTCGGATCGAGCTGATGTGTAATTGTTGTTCAAGTTCAGACAGGTAATCTTTCTCTCAAAATCGTTCAATACTGTTTATACATCAGTAAATCAAGCCAGTGACTAAAATATCAACTTCACATCGTTTCTTTTAGTAGGATTAAAAAAAAAACGTATTTAAATTGTGAATAAATTATATACAGAAAGCGATCAAAGAACAATCTTTCCACACAGCGCAAGTTTATCTAGACACTTGCCAAACTCGTTATGAATTCAATGACGAACGTTAAACTGCACAACGAAGGTCTTACTGTATTTACATGATCGTGTCTGCATTGGTGAAAGCATTAGAGAGAGTGCAGAAACTCGACAAACTGTCCTCTGCTTGCTCAATGCTCATCACAGCAACATTTTATGTGATTGGAGTAAATAAATAAAGAAATAGTGATCTAAATACTTGAAAAACATATCACGATTCGTTCATCTTGATAGCTGTAAAATGTATAGGAGCTGTAGTAAAATTATTCAAGAGAGTTTCACATGTAATACATAGCTATTTCATATGCAAGCATGTCAGCCAATCACAGTTCACTGTTACACACAGCAGACACGCCCCTTCAAACAGAGCGTTCAAATCAGAAGCTAAAATCAGCCTAGGAAAAATCTTTTATTACTAAATTATGACTATTTTTGATCTAAAAACATACTAACATTTATGAGGGCAACCCAGGAAACATTATAAAATAAAATAAAAAATAATTAAAACATTTAATTTTTTTTAGGCATCACAACATTATAAATTAAAAGTGTTAGATGACAACAGTGGTTGTTTAGATAGCTTTTCATTTGTGGGATGCAAGCCACCCTGCAATGTTCTCCTGGACTCCAAAGCATTAAATGACTTTTCACAGTGAAGCAGTTCCCCACACAATGACACCTCTTCCTCTATGCTTCACTGTGGTAGAAAGAAATGCATTTATTGTATTAGACATTGCAACAGTCACACCATGCAACTTATGTCCACACAACTCTCCTGAACCACTCTGAATCAAACTTCCCATATTCTGCCAAAAACTTCATTCGGTTTTTGACGTTTTTGGAGACAGTAGTGCATTTGCTTACATTTTGCTCATTTCCTGACAATAACATATAATTCCTCCCAATAATTTGTGGTTAAGACAATTAAAGGCTTAGTGTTTTGCCATTTTGGGCTTGGCCCATTTTTTTAATCTCAATATTGCCCAATAACCAAAGTGTTGTGCATCCCTATTAGTTTGCTTCATTCATTTGCAAAGTCATATTTTAACTTAACAAAAAAAAAAGCTTTTCTTGCTTTTTGGGCATTTCTCGTTTTCTAAAACTTTTGTTTCTTTGTAATTTATGCTTCTGCTAGAAGATTTCTAACATGCTTTGATCACACACCTCTTTCCTTTTCCTCCATATTTCCTCATCCATCATGTCCTCTTTCCATCCATTGTTCCATCTCCTGTCCTGTGGGTGTGCAGACCTCAGTAACTCCTCTTCCTCCTAGCTCTCCTTCTCCTCCTCTTCCTTCTTCACCTCCTCCTCCTCCTATTCTTGAGTCGTTCCTATCTGCAGTTGAGTATTTGTCCTGCTTCCTGTTTTCTTTTTGCATCATTTCCTTTTCCATATTTATTATAAGGAAATAAGACATGTTTTGTGTTTGCTTCAGGAGAACACAGAATTGGTTCAGTCCAGCCCAAAGCAGCCGCCTGAAGCAGTCCAGGAGGAACTGGACTTCCTGTTCGATGAAGAAATGGAACGGATCGCAGCGCCTCGCAAGAACACCTTCACTGATTGGTCAGATGACGATTCTGATGATGAACTTGATGACCGAGACGTTAACAAGATCCTGATCGTTACTCAGACCCCCCCTCACCTGCGGAAACACCCTGGGGGCGATCGGACAGGGAACCATGTTTCACGTGCCAAAATTACAACTGACCTCGCCAAAGCCATTAACGATGGACTGTTCTACTATGAACAGGATCTTTGGACAACGGAAGACGGACCACAAGAGTGTGCCAATGTCAAGGTGAGAGTGATTGTGCTTTGTGAATTATTATTTTAATGTAATAATTTAAAGTTGGTCAAAGTAAAGAGTTTTTTTTTAATAATGTTTTAAAAGATGCCCTTTTCAATAAGATGAAAGGTGACCACGGCTGTCACTGGTCAGCACCCACTTTCATTGTATGGAAGAGAGCAGCTTGATAGAATTTTCATTTTGGGTTGAAGTCTCCCTTTATCTACATAATTGATAAACATTCCCCCTTATTTGAAATGTTGAATATAACTTATGTTGAAAGGTTATATTTCTTCCAAATTTGAGTTTGACATCTTGTCATCAAATTTCCCCCCTTCATTCCATAAAATACACTTTAATTCAAAATTCACTTTTTAATTAAAAAATACAGTAAAAAATTAGCTCTTGTGTAATATTATTACAATTTAAAATAACTGTATTTGTAATATCTTTTAAAATGCTGAATGTTTGACATCAATACTCCAGTGTTCAGTGTCACATGATCCTTCAGAAATAATTCTAATATGCTGATTTGATGCTCAAGAAACATGGCAAATGATTTGTTGATGGATAGAAAGTTCAAAAGAACAGCTTTTATTTGAATTGTATTTTTTTTGTAATTATGTAAAAGTCTTTAATGTGACTTGACCAATTTAGCGTGTCTTTGCTGAATAAATAGTATTTTATAGTTATATAGTATAGTTATTTCTTACATTTTTCCTGATTGAACAGTGTAAACAAACAAACTAAAAAAATCATTTAAAGAGAAAATGAGTGTGTAATAGTAACTCTATTAGAGTTATAGTTTGTGCTGAGTTTGGTGTTTGTTCAGCAGCTGTTGGCTTCAGATAAATCTCCATAATCAGCAGTAACATGGGAATTTTCCCACTGTAAATGTTTGAATTGCTTTGTAGTTTCCAAAAATATACTGAAAATATTTGCTTAAGATCACACATGTCTTTGCTTATTTCTCAAACAATCTGTGCACTCTAGGATTCAACTTTTTGCGGTTTGATATGTGCTAATATCTATATTATCTTGTTATGATTACGTTTTTTAGTACATTGCAATTTTATCACAATAAGTGTCATCATTTGTTTTTAACAGTACAGTGACAAATACCTGTATGTACCCTTTATAGTCAGCCAATCAGACAAGGGCTCTCTGATAGAATATATGTAGAGTTCTGGTCTCGATTGGCTCCTCCTGGATTAAAAAAGTATGACGTATTTAGATGTATGAGCCCATCATACTAACATTAACTGAATCTTAGCTGTTTGCAAACTCTAAAAGAATTTAGCTGTTTGATTTGAATCAAATGAGACACTAGTATGTTTAAACTGCACAGTGTTATTGGGGTTACCCACCTGTTCCTGCTCATGGGAGTCCTAACACCTGTGTTACTGTTAACTAGACCAAGGACTCTGTGGAATAGAGTTCATAGGACAGACACCTGATAAACAGCTGCACAAAATGACAGAAATGAGCACATGTGGTTTTCTTCAAATGAGTTAAGAGTTTGTGACGTCACTCTGTGAAATGATTTCTCATTGTTAAGAGCTGTGATGTTCGTGTGGAATTTTACACATTAAGGTTTAAGAACATATTATCAGTCACCTGTACCAAAAAAAGTCCTGAGATTCATCTCTCTGTTAATGCAAATTATGTTCTTGGAAAATTTCTTATTGCCTACACTGTCGGAGTTAATGCTGCTGATGGGCCTAAAAGCTTCACTTTCAACAACCATATAGACAGAAGTCTTTATGATGGATAATAAAATTTACAGCTGCAAGTAATAGCCGCTGATAAACCTGATCAACTCCACTGCCTGCTGTCAGATAAAGAGCAGCACTTTTGATATATTGTTCATACAGGGCAGAAACAGGAAGCCCATCAGGGAAGTTTGTCTATGTTGTCTGTTTTTCAGTTTGATGTAGTTGGTATGCTTGCAACCTTCTTTAAGTAATCTTCTTGCTCTGTGTATAATGTCAATATGGTTCACATTTTTAGGATATGGAGAACTTTAAAAAACTCAACGTGATAAGCCGAGACGAGTTTGAAACTCTTACCCCTAAACTTCCCATTGACAGCAGCCAGGAGATCCCACCCCCTCCACTATGTCAAACAGGTGATTGCAATCTGTCGATCTTTCTTTTATTAAGTAAACAAATATTTAAATATTTATTTATTTATTTAATTGTTTATTTTATTCGTTCAATGTATTTTTTGTATTTTACTTAATTGATTTTTGTCTTTCTATGTGAAATGTCGCAGATTTACAGATTACAGATGAAAGCAAGATTTTATATATAAGAAATTACTTTTAAATTCCAAAGTTTGATTTTTCCATATATTTAAAAAAAAATATATATATATATATATATTATTAATTTTGTTATCTTTCTGTAGATGATTTTAGCATGGCTCATTCTTTCCCCACGGATGTCCCAGAATCCCCCGGTTTGCCCCATACCCCACGTACACCACGAACCCCTGGAAGACAGGACCCCACCAAAACTCCACGCTTCTACCCCGTCATCAAAGAAGATAGTGGCAACCTTGATGAAAAAGTAAGTTTTTACCAGGCAAACAGATTTTGTGATTTTAAGTATGACTTCATAACATATATATATATATATATACAAAATTATAATCACAAATGTGAAAAAGGTTCACAAAATTCAAGTTTCGGTTCGATAAGATAAGATACGATACACTTGTGTCACAGTTCTGTGCGGTTTTAGTATGTTTCCGATGCAGCAAAAAGAAAGAAATGCCAGAGAAATTTCCTTGATTTATTTATTTTTTATTATATTTTTATTAAAACTAACATTATAAAGTGTGATATTTTTTTTTTTTTTTTTTTTACCTTTGAGCAATAATAGAGCTATACTTGACTTTTCTTTGGAGCATTTAAAACAAAACAGCTCCTTGGTCAAAATGAAATGTTGTAATGTAGTAGGAAAAATGGTCCAATGAACCGTTCGGTTTAAAAATGCATACCGGAAACCGAACTGAAAGCCTCGTACCGAACGGTTCAATACGAATATGTGTATTGTCACACCCCTTATATATATATATATATATATATATATATATATATATATATTAACATTTCTCTCGCTCTTTTAGACTCCCAGAAAGAGGAAAACCCGTCACAGTTCAAACCCTCCACTGGAGTGCCATGTAGGCTGGGTAATGGACTCAAGAGAACACAGACCCCGCACTTCCTCTATCAGGTTTGTAACTTTTTTTAATTTCTTGCCCTCAGCACTTGAGGTGAAAGTTTTCTTAAAGGGTTAGTTCACCCAAAAATGAAAATTATGTCATTAATGACTCACCCTCATGTCGTTCCAAGCCCGTAAGACCTCTGTTCATCTTCGGAACACAGTTTAACATATTTTAGATTTAGTCCGAGACCTTTCTGTCCCTCCTTTGAAAACGTATGGGCTTGGAACGACATGAGGATGAGTCATTAATGACATAATTTTCATTTTTGGGTGAACTAACCCTTTAACTGTGTCTCTTTCTCCTTTTTCCTCCTCGTCCTCTGTACAGCAGCTCTAATGCTTCTCCGTCAGAAGGAGCCCCCGCTCTGTCAGGCAGTTACGGCTGCACCCCACAGTCCCTGCCCAAGTTCTGGCATCCATCCCATGAGCTTTTAAAAGAAAATGGCTTCACCCAGCAAGTTTACCACAAATACCGCCGTCGATGCCTCAACGGTACACTAATTATTTTGTTTTTACACCACAGATTATATAACTGCTTTACATGAATTTCTCATGTTTGTGTATTATTTTTCCCTCAGAGAGGAAACGATTAGGTGTGGGTCTGTCTCAGGAGATGAACACCCTCTTCAGATTCTGGTCCTTCTTCCTCAGAGACAACTTCAACAGAAAGATGTACGAAGAGTTCAAGCAGTTTGCCTTAGAGGACGCCAAGGAGAACTACAGGTGAGAGTCATGATCCTGAATTCTGTTTTATCTGTAGATCTTGTCTGGAGAATTTGTCTACCTTTGAGAAAACCAGGGAGTAAGTGAACCAGTTTAATTTGCCTCGCAGTTTTGCAAGAGGGTGCATAAATAACTTAACCAAAATAAAAAAGGTTTCCTAAAGTGTGTTCAAATATTTGTCACAGGTACGGCCTGGAGTGTCTCTTCCGGTTCTACAGCTATGGACTTGAGCGGAGATTCAGGCAAGACATCTTCAAGGACTTCCAAGAGGAGACCATGCAAGACTATGAGAAAGGTCAGTCACTCGTAATTTTTGATAAAATTAATATTTTAAAAAAAAACATGCGAAGAAAGAAAAGTTTATTGGTCTTATCTAACTTTGCATATCACTCACCATCAGTATTTGGTGTTTTTGTTTTGGTGAAATTAACTTACTCATTCTGAATGTATTTCTTGATCATTTGGTCATGTGAAATATATTTTGTCACTCTACATGCTGATGTTTTTTTGTTTTTTTTGGGTTTATGTAGGTCAGCTATATGGACTGGAGAAATTCTGGGCTTTCCTGAAATACGCAAAGGTGAAGAATCAGCCCATTGACCCCAAACTCCAGGAATACCTCAGCAAATTCAAGAGCATTGACGATTTCAGAGTTGATGTGAGTATAGGCATCAGTTTTAATGTAAATGTGATCCCTTGAAAACTATGCAAAGGGAAATAAGCTGTTGTAGTAAGTAGTTTCTAACTGTATGTAAAGTTAGTTTATTTGAAGTGTAAATCTCCTGCCCTTAGCCACCAATGGCAGAGGAAGGAGGAAGGAGGAAAGCACACTCGTCATCCGCAGGAGACGAGGTGAAACGTAGACGACACAACTCGACATCATCATCGAAACAGACCGCCGTCTCCAAGACATCTTCAGACAATCAGCTGACCACTGGAGGAATGACAAAAACAGCCACGACTGATCAGGCCGCCGCCCCAACGACAACGAAAACGACCAATCAACCATCAGCCAAGGCAGCCTCAGCCAATCAGAAGAGCGGCATGGCTAATGACCCGTCTACAAAAGCCCCACCCAAAGAGAATGTGAAGAAGAATACCTCATCGGATGCTCGCAAAGGAGAGGCAGCGACCAGCAAAAACAAAGAAACCCTACAGCCAAAGAAATGAGGCCCTCACTACACTATATACAGTATTTGAGTGTGATTCTAACTCTAGAGCTGTGAAAAGATTTTCAGTGCTGATGCAGGCTTTACGTTTTACACCGTAACCTCGGAAGTGAGCCAGTCAAACCGAAGACCAACTGTCAGAACGCTGCATTCACAAACTGAACAGTAAACCAGAGATGTCTTTGTGTTGTACAAGACACTTTTTCTGGACAGGTTATCTTTCAGAAGATCTTATTGCTTTTTTTCCCCCCACAGTTAGTAGTTTCAGAATCAAGTACGCATGGTGAACTTTTTTTGCTGTAAAGTTTACAGAATATGCATTCCTACATCGAATGCAGTTTTATCTCTTTTAAAATGTTATTTTACCTTTGCAAATGCCTTACATTTCAAAAGCAACAAAAAATATAATTATTTTACAGCTCTGTCAGCATAAATAATGAATAATCTTTTGGTGTTTTTTAAGTATTTTTTAATTTGTGTCTGTGCATTTCCTGCACAGCACACACATTTTAGCTCATTTATTTTAAAAACTCAACAAAAAAAAAGCTCATCAAACAAACAAAAATCTCTAACTTGAACTGAGGTTGACACAAGATAACACACTATATAGCTTTTTGCATTATTTTATTTTATTTTTTTTTGCTCTTTTAGCTTATGAAATATGACCGTGATGGGAATACTAAGTTCTTTATGCTTTTATGATTAGCTGAGTGTGTATATCGGAGAAGTACATTGATATCAGCCCAAAGTGGCGAGGGATTGTAAAAAGTGTTAACATCTTCAGGAACTAAATGATGTTCCTTCTCTTAAACTTATATTGTGCTGTTCATGTCATGGAAGTGATGATCTTACAAGATGCCACATCTTTAGGTGCAGAGTAGAGGAAGAGAAAACATCTTTGAACTTTTTATTAATTTTTACTTAAATTGGAAAACGTTTGTGTACTTGAAGTTTCTAAGAAATGTTATCTTTTTGAGAGGAATTATCCTTCCTTTTAAATTTTTAATCCTATTGGAGTTGAGTTTAAGATAATTTATTGTTTTACTCTCTTTTAAAAACTTAATTGATTAGAATCTTTTTTTTATTGATATTACATAGAGAGTGTAAATGACTGCAAACCTGGCGGCCCAGAGAATACTTTTATTTGCTTTTTTATTTTGCAGGTTGGATCTTTGCTGATAACATTAAATCAGTGTTTTTTTTTTTTTTTCCTCACTTATGATCATTAATCAGACACTGAATTGATGTCCCGATTGTATCATATTTGCTTATGAAAACTGTACATAAAAAAATATTAGAAGAAGCTCTCTAATTTCAATCAATTCATTTTTATTGATTCATTTTATTGTGAAGTTTTGTTTGCTTGTGTGTTGGTATGCATGTTGGTTTAATTTTTTTCTTTCCTCATAATTGTAAAATGTAAAAAAAACATAAAATATATTAAAATCTGTTTATAAAACCCCAAAATAATATATGTTGTATTTCTTGTCAAGTGTGTCGTTATACTGGGTCTACTCTACATGGTTTCCACATCTTGTAAACAATGATTTTTCATGACTTTTTTCATCTGTTTGATTAATAACAACAGTAATAATTTGCACTCACACATACCGATATTTACCGATATTTATATTTAACCTGAAGCATGTGTTTTTGATATAGAAATTTGGGTAACGCTTATACCGTTCCTTCGTTAATGAATAACTGCACAAGAACCAATGAATAACTAAGTATTAACAATCTAGTAACTATTATTAACCAACAAGAAACTCTGATTAACAAACTAGTAAGTAATAGCGGACAGATGAAAGCGGTAGTTCATTATTAACTAATCAATAACTACTTTTACTACTTTGAACTACTTTTAATAACTTTTTTAATGCTTCTCAGAGAACTACTGAAAAAGTTTATTAACAATCTAGGAACTACTATTAAGTAACAAGAAACTCTGATTAATCGCACACAGATGAAAGTGGTACTTCACTACTAATTATTACACAATAATTATTATTTTTTCAATGCTTCCAAGAGAACTACTGAAATTTTTCATAATTAATGCAAAGAATCAATAAATGCAGGACAAATTACTAGCACTACATTAACATTTTAATTGCTACTGTAAATACACATGGTTGTTTACATTATCAATAGCAGACTTATGATTTGGGAAAGCTGTCAATAATCTGCCTATGCTGTCTATTTATCAACTGAATCATTTTAAAGAAATGGATTTTTAAATGCAGTTGTCTGGACCACACTTGTCCTGCGGCCAATCTTCCGGCATTCCTCTGGACTGGCATTGTATCATTAGGGTCATGGTGAGTAGGCTACTGGAACATATTTAGTCTTCAGCCACCAAAATACCATATGCAGTTATTTTATTATTTAACCTACCTCCCCCAAAAAATATTTTTATGTATGTCTCCGACTCCTAGCTCATATATATATATATATATATATATATATATATATATGTATATATATGTATGTATGTGTGTGTGTGTGTGTGTGTGAAGATTCTGCACTTTATTGGCTTTTCATTGGTAACTGAAGATCATGGGAACAAACTGGTAATGACTCACGTGTTACTACATACTTCTAAAGAAATTTTCTAAAAGTATACTAAAGTTCACCAAAAATCTCAAACGCTTGAAATGACCTGTGTTTTGTTGCACAAATCATGCCTAGATCACGTAGTCACACTTCATTACTAGTTAGTTTCTATGAACTTCACTTTAGAATATGGATTCAAATAATTAGTAATTCCCACAGAAATATGAAGTACCAGTTTCATCAGTGCACTATTACTTACTAATTAATTAATCAGAGTGTCGTTTTAGTTAATAGTAGTTATAGTTACTAGATTGTTAATAAACTTTTTCAGTTCTCTGAGAAGCATTAAAAAACAATAGGACAATTATTGATTAGTTAATAATGAACTACCGCTTTCATCTGTGCGCTATTGGGCTACTTGCTAATTTGTTAATCAGAGTTTCTTGTTAGTTAATAATAGTTACTAGATTGTTAATATTGTGTTACTCATTGGTTATTGTGTAGTTATTCATTAGGGAAGGAACCGTATTCGTGTTACCAAAATTTGTTTAAAGATTGTTCGGGCCTGCAAGCCCTCTTAAAATTCAGCATGTCCAGGTTTTCTGTGGCTCTGGGAACCCTCTTAAAAAGAAATGGTAAACACAACACACTTAAAGGAGCTGTATGTAAGAAATGTATTTCAAGTAATCATAAAATTGCCCTGATATGTCACTAATCTGATTGCTTTATGCATGTTACTTAGCCTATAATGTGTTACCCCAACACTGCTCATTTCAGATGAGATGCATAGGTTTTCTCAGAGGCTAGAAATGTGTCCATCTTTAACATAATCAGAATTATCAGCTAATAAGGGTAAATTAACATAATTTGGTACACTGGAGGGAGCATCTGAGTCTGACTAGTCCAACTATGAAGTGCAATATTTCGCTTTTTTTAATGTTTGCATATATTTGATAGTTTTCTTTTCACATGATTTTATATAATTTTATTAATTGGTTTGTTAAATACACCCACTATATCTGTTTTATTATTGTGTTATGTTTAATAGAGTATCTCTTCAGTTTAAACCATAAAGGATGCTGTCCACTCAAGTGGACATTTGAAAATCTTTGAAAAATGTGTAAAAAAAAAATAATAAGAAGAAATTGGGTTAATAAAGATATTTCTGAATACTGTTGTAATTCATAGCGGTTAGTTAATGATAAATATAATCATGACAGTTAGCGCGTTTTAATCATCTGAAACCTTTGTCTGGTCTCATCAGGGTCTCATGCGGTCGGTGGTCTTGTAGGCGCCACGCTGCCAGAAAACTACAAATTCCAGGAGCCAACGCGTTGTTTCCGGCAACAGGCAGCCAATCAGACGCGCTTCTGTGTGCCAGCTGGGCGGGCGGTCGCTTGCGGTGGGAAGGCGCTATCGTTGCAGTATGGCGGACGATGGGGACGGTAGGAGTGCAGCGGCGGACACCAGCGGCGAGCAGGGGACGACGGAGGACTTGGATGCGGGGTCCGGTCTCGGTATAAGCGCAATGATGCTCAATCTCAGCGTTCTAGTGCTCGTGCTGACCGCGTGTTACGTGCTTTACGCGCGGTGGTGGAGGAGGGCGGGTGAGGACGCGGCCCAGGGCAGCGAGGCCTCGCCGCTACCCAAGATGAGGAGACGCGACTTCACCCTGCAGCAGCTGGGCGAGTACGACGGGGTGCAGAACCCGCGCATCCTCATGGCAGTCAATACCAAGGTCTTCGATGTGACCAGTGGCAAAAAGTTTTACGGACGCGGTAAGGAGCTCATGCTCACGCTCACACCCACATTCAGCGGGGTTCTTCAACTTAAGCAGTAGAGAAGATGGGTAAACAAAAGGGTAGCTAGCAAACCTGGAATTCATACTAGTAAGTTAACTATTGTGATGGTTAATACTGAACACGTATTCGTACAGGTCTATTAATGTATAAGATAACATTTAATTTTTAAATGTCCCTGTTACATGTACGTTCTAGTATTAGCAGTACATTTTGCATAATTACAAGCAATTAACTAACGTTACAAACTCTAATTCTAAAGAAAGTAGTTATTAATTAATATTACTCTGCACTTATTTGTACTCGACACTACACTGTAACATGGGCACCTTCAAATAAAGTATAACTTTTTTTATTACTAAAACTGGATTAGGTTCCACTTCCAGCAACAGTTGGAACACATACCAGTCTGAAGTTAATATTTCATATCAGTACCACAGATTTAGATTTATTAACAAGAAAAATAGTTTGCTATGTCACAACTGGGTAAGTTGGTAGTATCTATTAATAAGCACTAGAGAATGCTTGGTATGTATTTCAATATTGATTAGTATCTATTCAGTTAGTCAGTAATACTTATTCAATAGATATTACTGAAATAAATACTAACATAATAAGCAGTAGTTACTAGTAAAATAGTGAAAGATACAATTGCATTACAGTAACACTTTATTTTGTCCAATACACACATTACATTTACCTTATTAATAACAGTAAAATATGCACAAATACAAACAACTAACCTAAACTTATAGTAAGTAGGCCTATGTATTGTTAATTAATATTACTTACATTAAATACACTAACAACGTCTCCTTAAAATAGTGTGAAAATAGTAAAAAACTGGATTACTTAGTCCAAATAAATACTTGTTAGTTGTGAGGAATATTTTGAACTTATCAATATTGGAGGAAGTACTAATGAATAGTTACTATCAGTGTGAAACAGTAAAATGTACAATTAGATTACTGGAAATACTCATTTATTTGAAAATAGTACGAGTACGATATGAAAGTAATTCTAGTTAGTTTTAAGAAACAATATCTTGCAATAGAAGAGCAGCTTGTGTGTTAACCAGCTTATACTTGCCAATACTTTTGTCAGAGGAAAGCTAATGACCAGTTCATTCTGGTAAAAACTGCTCAGGGTGAAGTCTCACGAAACCTTTCTCCCTGAGACCTCTGTTGTATGATGCACAGTTTGGTCTGATGTTTGGTCTGATGATATCGGAGTTTGACAAACTCTTGACGGGCCCTTTCTGTCTTAATCATAACTGTGGTCAACATTCTCCTGTTTTGCCTTGGTGAACTCTTTCCCAGGCTTCAACCTGTCATCTCAGTGCATTTTTGAACGAGAGCCATTCGTGATGTGTTCAAATGGGGTGAGAGCCATGTGCTGGCACACCCAACAAATATGTACTGTAACAGCAGATCATTCATTTGTGCATTAATCAATTTGCTTAATTTAATTTTATAAAGTTAACAGCTTGATTTGTTATGACGGATATAAGATCAGATAAGTTTCGAAATTAAGCACTGAGCCTGAAAGAAATGAGCAAATTCTTGTTTCTTTTACCTGTACTTTAAGTGTGGTTTACAGACTTGCAGCTGCTGTGCAAAACAGCTGTTTGCTCCAGATAGCAATTGAATATTTTGGCCTAAAAGCCAGAACAGCAGTCTTTTGTCTGCCTTGAGTCTATATTTGGAGACTCAGTTCAGAAGTGAAACCGAGAGTGCACATAAAATCTGGATTCTCATGGCCTTTGTTTGCATTTACCAAGTTTTAAATCACAGTGCTAGCTCGGGTCTATGATTTGTCTTCACATCTCTCTCGGCTATATTTGTATATGAGGTATGTTATCTG